GGCTCCCAGCTCCCCCAGCAGGCGCCAGCCTACAGCTCCCTCGCCAGCTCCCCTGCAGCTTCTGGGGTTCGCTGTCCCTGCATGATCCGCCTGGCAACGGGGTCGCTGCTGGCAAACCCGGTCACCCGGCTCCCAGCTCCCCCAGCAGGCGCCAGCCTACAGCTCCCTCGCCAGCTCCCCTGCAGCTTCTGGGGTTCGCTGTCCCTGCATGATCCGCCTGGCAACGGGGTCGCTGCTGGCAAACCCGGTCACCCCTGCAGGGGCGCGTCAGCACGGCCCAGTTACCCTCCTCCCTTGTTCCAGGGGAGGCCCCTGCCCTGCTACCCGCGCCACTATCTTTCCTCCCAGAGCCAGGCCTCCACTGGCAGAGCTCATCGGCTCACCCGCTCTCACAGGGCTGCCTCGCAAGGGGAGGGACCCCAGACCCTACTCGTCTGCCCAGCACATCCAGTGAGCGCTGCCCCCGGGCAAGCCGGCCCAGCCATCAGGCGCCCCCGTGGGGCCCGCTCTGCCACCTCCCACGCAGCCACGTCTTCGGAGGCGCTCATTCGCTGCAGCTCCTGCCGAGGACTGTGGAAAATCCCCCCTCCTCTCCCCAAGAAACTCCATGGTGTTTGGGGCCAACTCCCCACTCAGCTGGCTGGCACTGGTACTTTTGTGTTCCCCGTCTGCAGATGATTCAATCCCGTCAATGGAGTTAGCCCCACAACACCCCAGGAGGCGGGGTGGGGCTGTTACCCACATTGTACACATGGGAAACCGAGGCACTGAGCAGCAAAGGGAACAGCCGAAGGTTTCACAGGGAGTCTGTGGCAGGGCAGGGAATCAAATCCAGAATGTCCAAGTCCCTAGCTCATCACCTCATCTCCCTCCCATGTGTAACTCACATGGGGTTCAGAGTAGCCCCGGGGTTCACCCCATGCAGACTGCTGCAAACCCGGGGCCTTGCACTGTCCCTCAGAGGCAGCAGGGCTGTACAGGAGTTGTGCACACAAACCCATTGTAATCTGGTCCCTGCTGGCAGTGCTCAGACACTGATGTTCTGCAACTTACTGGGCTCAGATCTAGCAGGGTTTCCCTCTCAACACGCAGGTTATTTTGCCCAGGGCAGCAATGGGAGCTTTGACCAGCTATGCTGTCGTTATTATCTGTCAAGTGGCAGCGCCTGAGCCCCAGTCGTTAACCAGCACGCCTGTGCCAGGCGCTGCACAACCCCAGAACTGAAGGCAGACCCAGACCCAGGTTCACAACCTCCCCACCACTATTTGCTAGCGAAGGCAGCACATCAATCAGCCAATATCCTTCAACTCCTGGTGCTAGTTTTGCTGGGGTTGGGTGACGTGATTTACACACATTTTGTCCATGTTCCCTTCCAATTTCTCTACCCGCTGCTCTTTCGGTATCTGTTACTTCCTAACTCCATTTCCAGGTGGTTGTTCTGTGTTGGGGCAGATTTAAAACCCCGTTCAGTGGCTCAACCTTTGGGGGCCCTTGTTAATTTAATTACCTGAGCGTGAGAGTTTGGACAGCGCTGGCTTAGGGCTGGTTTCTTCAGCCAATCCCTGAGCTGAGCGTGTCTCTGGGCAGCCTGGCCGAGTTAGGCACAGCGGCGCTGAAATGCCCTGCGTGCCCAGCCACCAAAGCGCCCTTGTCAGGTCTGCATTGGCCTCATGTCCCAGGCCAGCTGGGGAGCAGGGATGGGCAGGTACCTACTTCCAGGAGATGTTCCTCTTAGTCCAGGCCAGGCCTGCGCTCCGCCGGTCCCGACTCTTCCTCCTCTTCCGCCACTGCCTCCCGTTCTTCCTCTGGGGCGGCTTTTCTGGGAGGGTGCCGAGCACGTCGGGCAGCGAGCAGCGCGGCGTCCGGATCAGCGCCAGCGTGGCATCATCTGGGCAGCGGGGTGGGAACCAGGCATGTCACCGGCTAGCAGG